AATCCGTAATAACCACAAACTTCATTTTCATCCGTAGGCCCTCTGCAGAAGTCGCTAGTGTTTTCGAGAGTCTGGATTCCATGTCCGAGGTCACTCCCACACATACAGCATTATGCTCTTCCGTTAATTTTTCCAATTCTTCAGCAGTCTCAACATGGACAACTGCAGTTCCAAGGTTTGCCTTCACGTAGTTTACAATATCACTACTTTTGCGACCGCCTTTGTAATGTTCCACCTCTTTGCCGTCACGAAAGAGAATAATTGTGGGAAACCCTTTAATGGAGTACTTGTGGGCCAAATTGCTTTCCTTGGTGCAATCGACATCCACCATGACCGCCCCGCTAGGAATCTCTTTGGCCGCCTTCTCCCACTCCGGCGCAAGTTTCTGACAGTGCCCGCACCATGGAGCATAGAACTTCACAAGCGCAATCTCTCCACTTGAAATGACGTCGTCAAAATCTTTATCGGTGGCTTCCACAACTTCACTTCCCTCCGCCCGAAGCGAGCAAAAAAAAAGAGCAACGAAAAAAATGAAATGTATCATAATTGTGTATCCCTTTTTTCCTAAAAGAAGTTTGACGCTTGTCTTCAAAAAATAACGACTAGAAGATGAGACACAATAATATTCGCCTGGGCTGCTAGTTATATGCTGGACTTATTTATAAAAACGAAACAGAGTAAAAAAAAGAATATATAATAAAAAATAAAAATAAGAAAAACAGCGGGGCTTACTACATACTGAAAGTTTAACAGAACGTAGGTGCATATTTATATATAACATAAGTGAAAGACTTTGGTCTCCTTCCAGCCACAAGACAGCGCCGCTGCCCGTCGCTCCTCTTCGCCAAGTCCTGAAGTGTAAAAACACGACCGCGTGATATGCCGTCTGTGGGGTTTTCTGCAGACCGTACGTAAGCAGAGGATGTCTGCACTCCGCGAGAGCCTAAAACTCGTATATCCGTTGCAGCTCCCACGTCATGGCGTGTGATTTTGAGCTGCCTTTATTCGCCGCTCCTTGCAGCAAAGTGTTGTCCACCCAAACGTCCACGGTGCGTGGCAAGACGGCGGAAAAGGCCGATAAGGCTAAGCGTTCCGCGCGCGCCTCGGCCTGCATGATAAGAAAAGGTTTCTTCTCCCATTTCCCTCCGGCAATTTTAACGTCGCCGGAGTCTGGAATAAAAACGGCTCTCCATCCATGGAGCGATGCGTCCGTGATGATGGCAGCCGATGCTCTCTCGGTGGGCTTGTTGTTTCTCTTACGATTATTCTCGATGGTGTGTCGTAATCTCTCATCCAAACCAACCGCTGCTGGCGGTAGTTTCGCCGGGGATGTCTCCTGCACAATCCCTTGGTGAAGTGCGGATAATCGGCGTCGCACCGCCTTTATAAAAAAGTAGTAGTCGCATAAACGCGTGCGCAATATGGCCGCCGCGTACAAAAAACGTGACGCCACAACCTCCATTTCCGGGATGGTTAAATACTTCAGCGACGGCATGGCGCGTACACACCGGACAAACTTGTCACTCAGGGATACCGCCCGGTGAGTGTGATCAAATTGCACCCCCAGAAAGGTGTACTGCGTGGCGCCCGATTCGCGATCCTCCCCCATCGTGGCGCGACAACTGTCCGCATTACGAAGCACCTGGGCTTCCCACAATGTCGCACCGCTTTTCGACCCTGCAATGCGTATATTATCGATCCAAACGTCGTCGCGCGCCAATGGAGGTGCGGCCCAGAGGCGTGAACCACCGTCGTCACCCCCGCAATCGCCGAAGTAATAATAATCTGGAGAATTCCTGGGCTGGCCTTGCATCCCATTGGGAGCCGTGTGAGCTCCACCAGCGTGCCGTCCTCCACGCGGCATCAAAAGAGATGCCGAGTCTCCCGCGGTAAAGAAACTCGGAAAAAGGATGCCTTTAAATCCAGGCGGGAAACGGCCTCAGCCATCACAGGCGGCAAACAATGGGAAATGTGTAAAGGAGGAACATTCGCCTTGTAAGGGTCGTCTCTGTTCTTGTCGCGTGGCCACGCAATCCATCTTCGTAAACCGGTGGCTTTCTCCTCTACAACCAAAAGGGTATTATCCATCCGCCTGTTATTGTGGACGAAGCGTCCTCGATTATTCCTGCTGTTCGTAACAAACGCGCGTCAGCTTCTGGAATCCTCCGTGAGCCTTTGCGCGCTTTACCGGAGGAGGATTGAGGGAAAGGGGACCGCCCGACGAGTCCCCAAACTTGCATGAGACTCTCCAAGGTGGCCGGATTCAACCGACTTTTAATCCACTCTAGGTTCAACACGGGCACGTTGGCTTGCTGCTGTAGCGGGATGGCTCGTTCATCTTGTGGAGTGGCCGGACGCGTCCTTGTCGCACGTCTCGTTATTGTAGCAGCATGGTTGTGATTAAAATCATAGAAAAACGCTCCTCCGCTCTCAACCAGGGTTCCTGCCCTTCCGCAGTTTCTCCCCTCACATCAATGCGAACAGCGACGACACCTGGGTCAGCAGTGTGGTGTACCTCCACAAATATCGAACAGTATTCTGGGAAAGGCCGAACGGGTCGACGTGCTTCGCCAACTGCGAGATCACGTGTGGGTCCAAATTGTATGTCGCCACGATTTGAGCAGCGTGCCGCAACGCACCTTGTTTTATGGAATGCGCCGTGGCTTCCCAAGGAGCCAGAACTCGTTCGATTTGAACAGTCGTAATATTCGTGAGCTCTTCGTTTTCTTGAAGTGTCCTGCATAAATTTATTGTGTCTAAGACGTCCTCCTGCCCTCGTATCCTCACGAACCGCGAGGCGCGGTGGGGATCCGCCCTCGCCGTCCTTGGCGCCACGGACCAATCCAAAATTAAGGCCCCGTCCGGCTCCAGAGTGAAATTGTTGGGGGTTAAGGCCGCAATCTCGGACCAACATCTCGCTGTCATCCACGCGAGTCGTAAGACAACACGCTCCTTCCAATCGGTCCGGCCGCGGATAACTTGACTCATCCCTTCCGTTGTCAAGGTGCGCGCCTTCTTCGATTGCCATCAAAAAGGCCGCGCAGCTCTCCTCGTTCATCGGCTGTTCGTGCGTGCAGCAAAAGGTTGTGAATTGCCCTGCTAGGGACATTCTCTGCTCCCACGTTGACGGCGCACACATCTCTCGAGCGACCTCGTTTGCTTTCCTCATATAACTGGCCCAAAGCGGGGATATCGGTAATTCGTCGTACCACAGTCGAGCGTCGTTTACGGATAAGCTCCATTGCCCTTCTCGACGATTTCGTCGGGCAATTTGAAAGATCGGGTGGAGCATCGGCGGCGCGGTGCGCTGCCTGTGCGGATTGGTGGGAGGTGGCGGATTGGATGGAGCTGCCGTCGTCAGCCCCCTTGCCGCTTTCTGACGGCCGTCCGCGCTGCGAGTAACTTCCTCTCGGGCGCACATTGCTTTTAGATATTACGGTTCCATGAACATGACATAACTGGCATCGCAACGATATTTGCGTCCCTCGCCGTTCCGCGAGAGGCTGGGATGCCCTCGCAAAGGTGTCAGCCTCATGAACGGCGGTGTAAGGAAGGGCGCGCGGTTTGGAGAGCGGGATGCCGGGATCGGACGTCATCATGAGCCGCATCCGGAATTCCTGCAGTAAGATCCTGCCAAAGTTCATAAACTGATCGGTGGAATCCCGCTCCGCTTCCAGCGCGCTGATCCACGCAACCAAACACTCAAAGGCAAGTTTGGTCTGGTCCGCATGTTGCCAATATTTGTGTGCGCACCGGAGGTCGGCAACGACTCCGGAAACGCCCTCATCCCATATACGCGGCCCGAGTGGTGACGTCGAAGGCGCGGAACATTCGTCCCTCTTTTCCTGTAGCGGAATTATCGTCCAAGGGGAGAAGTGCTGGAGGGCAAAGGCGTCAAGTGATAGTAATGTGGTCACCCAAAATTGCCCTGAGACGTCTGGAGGAATAACCTGCCGTCTCTCTCGCGCCGGAGTCCGTTGGGCCGTGCGTGACGGCGCGCCCCCAGCCATCAAGCGATGCTTTTAATGTGGTTTTTTGGTAACGCCGTATTCGGCCTTATTGTGACACGCGACAGGTCCATCTGTCGGACCTCTCCGAGAGGTGGAGACCTCTTCCCGGCTCGCCGCGCCTCTCTAGCGCTAACGCGTGCCTCTCGTTCCTGTGGTTGGGCGCGGTTAGCCTCCAACTGCTGTTCGCGTCCGGCGAGCGTGTATTCTCATTCCTCCTTATGACCGCCGGCGCGCGCAATGTCAGATTCGCATACCGATAGGCTATTATGCGCCTCTTCCACCTGCGAATGAAGCTGAGCGTTTCGATTCGGCACGTCCACGGCGTTCGTGTAGTCAGTGCTCGATCGCTCCCTTTCAGCAAATGAGGAGCCCTTGTTGGTGCCCAACTCCCGGGCCGCCCCCACACGATGGGCAGGAGCGCTTGGGTTTCAAAATTGGGTAATTGAGGCGCCCGGAGATTCGCAATATGTCCTGTAAGGCTCGAATCCCCACAGTGTCTGGTGGTAGATCCCGAAAACAAGCGTAATCCTGTCGTGGAGGCGGCAACAGTTAACATTGCATCCGACGGCCCGTTTTCATCAACAAAGGCGAGCGGCACCTGAATATCGCCATAGGAGCGCCATTTTTGCGTCACTCCGTCGCCGTGTAAAGGAATTCGCTGCCATTACTTTAAACCAACAGGCATGTGTCCGGTCAGGCTGTCAAAAAAAAAAAAAAAAGGGAATGGATGCAACTGGCAGCTTGACCACTGTGCATTTTTGCCAAGACGCTACAAAATACAGAATACAATATGCACAGAATAAAACAACAAGAGCAATACACTTTTCCTTTCTCCATGAAAAAGAAATTCCCAAAGAAAAAAAACATATATGTATATATATATATATATGTATATAACAAAAATAATAACACTAATAAAAAAAAATTCCAGCTGGGAAAGACATAAGCACGTCATATTCATAAAGACTTCCGGTGTCACGCCTCAAGTGTCACGGCCAATGAGTCGCATAAGGACTTCAGTTTCCGGTTTTCACCTTCAAGTTTGTGACTTTCGTATTGCTGGACTTGAATCTCACGTTTAAGGTCCCTCAACTTCAGTGCATGTTTTTCCATGTCTGTATTTATGCTCGCTCTCAGTTCCTCTATGAGTCGCTGTAATTTCGTCCGCTTGGCCTCAAACAACTTTAATTGTTCACGAAGTTGCTCCTTTTCCTCCTCAACACCGGCAGTTATGCGAAGAGCATCATTCACGGAAATGGCAACCTCTCGTTTAGAATCCCCACCCTGAACGGAGTCTGAGGAATATTTGGTGTCACGAAGTACATCCCATAGGCGCTGATTCGCAGTCTTTATACTCTCAACTTCTTCGCGAAGTGCATTGCGTTCTTCTTGTATTTTTTCCACAACACTAAGGGCAGACTTTTCCTGATCTTCAACAATGACCGATAGGTTTTTCTGTAGGTCTAAAGCTAGCTCATTCACTCTCTGCTTCTTCAGTTCAATGACATCTGTAACCTCGCGCTTCTTTCTTACACAGTATCCAATTGCCCGTTCGCGCTCACGGGAGAGTTCGCGTATGGCTCTCAGTACACCCCGCGCCCTTGCATCTTCCTCATGTGGGACGCGTTGGATGCTGCGAGTTAATGATGTGTGCAGATCATCCAAAATGGTTATAAGACTCACTAAGGTGAGACGCCGTCGGGCCTCCGCACTCTCGGCAGACTCATTCAGTGACTCCACCTGCGCTACAAGGTCTTGAACCTGGCCCTGCTTTTCCTTCAGGCCTGCGTCAGCTTCCGAGAGTTCACGCACATATTCATCGCGCGGTAGGCAACCATCAGATGCAGTCTGAATTCTTTCTCGCTCTGTATGCGCTATCCGATTATCAGCCACTACATTTTCGAGTTGCAACTGAGTTTCCCTCAACTCATCCGCGTTTTCATCAAGAGCCCGTTCGGTATTTACAACCGATACCAATATTGAGGCCATTTTTTGACTTCGATTTCGCAGGATCTTCTCTTGAGCTGAAAGCGTGTCCTCCAGTTCCTGGAGATGCTTTTTCAACTCCCGAACAGCTTCTTCCTGTGTATCATCCATCTACACAGAGATTGTTTTCAACTTACGACCTGATCGTTCAAACAAGAAGGAAAAGCAAATTCGAGGTTGTGACATTGGCCGCGTTAAGGAAGGAAAAGAGGAAAAATCACGGCATCAGTGACAAATTCCTTCGGGAACAAAACATTTAAGCAACAAAGAAACATGTCAAAAACCAGCGAAAAAACCTCATGATTTTGGCCGAAGGGCCAATGCATAATGGAAACCCATTAGACATCGGTGTTCCTCAATCAGCAAGTAACGAGCATCATCCCTGATCCATTTGTTATAATTGTGCGTCAGGTGCATGGAGCTTCTCGTCAAAGAGTTGAACCAGCGCACACAAGACTGTAGTTTTGGCCAAGAAGGACTCCCAAAATCCATTAGTAGCAAATAGCCGTCTTTTGCGACATAAGTCAAAGCGGCATTGAGAAACTGACGCGCATCATCTTCACTTCTGTTCAAGAGCTCATTTCGGATCACAACAGTGTCGTACTTTTGGAAATCGGGCATTTTTGTCTCTCCCTTTTCAATGATGTCAAAAACAACTGTGCTTCCAACCCAGTTGTGATCGTTCTTGACCATAAAATCCAAAGTCATGGCTTTCCGTCGTTCCGCCTGCACTGCTTCGGGGAGGGACCCATCAATTTTGTATCGCCCATCATCAATAACTTTTTGATCCACGATAAACTCTACACGAATTGCTTTAGACATCTCATAAAGTCGGACATTGCTGGCATCCGCTATTTTTGGCGTCAGATCCAACACTCGACCACGACAATATGTCTGGTACATTCGCCTCAAGGAGCGGTAAATCAGCCACTGTGGAATCAGGCTAACTCCCCACACCAAGGCAGCCCCACCAAGACACGTTGCCAAAAAAATGTTTCGCCCATGTGCTATTTTTGCGTACTTCTCCCTCGGAATCAAGACTGGTTTGTAATCCCATTCCCCCACACTGTTTGCATCTGGAATCCTTTTTTGCATTCCAGTCAAAGCCTCCAAGGGTGAAGTGATTCGTAAAAAGAATCCAGGACCAAAAACAAAACCAAACAAAAAAGGCAAAAAAGAAAAACTAGAAGACATCTTTACAAAGAGCAAAGTTAAAATGGAAAAATACAGAGTTATCGCGTATAGACAACCAGACGAGCGTCATGACCATCAACTCGTCGTTGATAACTCAAACTCATCCACATTAATAAAAAAAACTCTCACTTCATCTTATTTTTGGTTTGTAATAAGACAACGCAAACCCCCAGTACCAAATAGTCAGTGGGTCCAACGGCAACCCCTCGAACCACTCCATTCTAAAATGAGGAAGCCACAACGCTGGATCCACAGAAATGGAACGAGATGAAATCAGCCATTTTGATGTTTTGTCGAATGTAAAAAAATCAAAGAGGACCTGGAAAGGCCGTCGGTGATCGCTTTGCAGGTGTACCACCAAGTGGTACTCGCTTGCCTTTTCTCTCAGCTGCCCATCCACCGATCGAATGTCGTTAAAGAAACTAAAGCACGGCTGCCGCTCTTGAAATGCCCACGAGGCTTCAAAGGAATACATTGATCCCATTAACATACCAAACATTCTCCAGAAGAGCCGTTGCGTATGATTGGCGCCAATAAGACCGCAAAGGGCGCCAACCGATGCAAAGTACATTCCAATAGGGTTGAATGCACTATTCAACGTACGACAAAGAATGGCTCGCTCTCCAAGATTTGGGGCATATCTTTCCTTTTCAATTTGCCTGAGTAACTCCAAAAAGGCATGTTCCTCCAGTGCCGACATCCACCTTGCTATTCGCACCAAAAGCAAAAACACAACATCAAAAACAATCAAGTAATAATAATAATAATAATAATGCAGAAAGAATAATAAGAAAAACATTCAAAAAGCAGCCGAAATCCTTTTCATTACCAGATATGGGCTGGGACGAAAAAACAATGTTGCAATTACCCGCCCTCGTTTCTAGTTATTGCTTTTACCTTTAAAACGGTGGTTATATATACCTTATAATATTTATTTAAAATCCTCCTCTACCACGTCCTCGACCGCGCCCACGTCCACGTCCTCTGAAGTCACTATCACGCACACGCCTCTCCGAGTACTGTGCAACTTCAACAACACTTTCTGCGATCCCCTCCACCAAATACTGAAGTCGAGAAGTATTGCTTCGGTCAACATGAAGGTACTTGTCTTCCCTATCCCAGAAAGCTATGAGTGAGCTGTTGCTTTCCGAGATAATGTCGTTGATTATGCACTTTACTTCATTCTCATCTAACCCGTACTTTTTCATCATCAAATCCACAGATATCGTGGCAAAATTACACCGATTATTGTAACAGAATATGCGGAAGGCTGCTTCTTTTAAATGCTGCAAAAATGTTTTTAGAGCCTCGTCACCATTTGGCATCATGGACCATGCACCCATGCTTTTGATGACTTCACTGGCCTTTGCATAATCGCCCAGTTTTAGATTAATGTAGGCTGCTGTTAGTTGCTCTCTGAATTCCACTGGATCACCCAATAACGGCTGATACGCCATTTGGTTGATTATCCGGAAGAAATAGCTTTGATGACGACTACCCTCATAAGGCTTTTTGGCTTCCTTTGGCGTATCCACCACAAGAGTAGAAAGCATCGTTGCAAGCTCCAACTGAGCATGCTGAATGTAAGCGTGTGGAGGCACCAGCAAATCGCGAAACTTCAGCTCCTCTTCATCATTTTCTTTCACGTAATCTGGCATCCGTTGGCTAATCAAAACATCATGGTTCCGATTAGACCACAAAGAGCTGAGGAGGTTGTAAGCTTGAATGACATCACCCGCTGCAAAAGAAGCCAAGCCAAGTTGCGCAATAACTCTGTTGTACAAAATGGCAAGATGAACGGATTTTTCTACGGTTTCTTCCACACCAGACCGAAGAACGAGATCTCGTCCGTCTCGATACTTTCCTTCCAATCCCATCTGATATGCGAGGTAAAGAAGGGCACTACACTTTGCCTCTTCATTTCCTATGACGAGAATTTCTTGATAAAGCTCACGGACCGTTTCAATTACAGAGGTAGTGACAATGTTGCGAGTCAGACGAGTCATTTTGTGATAGAGAATATCATGAGCCTGTTGCCTTCTTGAGCCGAGAATATCGATGAGAATTTGACAGCAAATTGCCTTTCCACGCTTGCGCTGCTGGTAGTAACCGAGAACAGAGTCTGCCAGGTCCACTAGTTGATTTTCCAACTGAATTATTTCAAAGTATTCATCCGTGGCACCTGTTTTAAACTGCGCGATGCGCTGTAAATGAACGTGAAGCTTTTGCAATAAACCGCACAAACCATCCATAATCACAGCTCGTTTGCTTGTGAGATCTCCAGAAAAGACTTCTTTGACTGCTATTGCCGGATTTTCAGTTATTAGTGAATAGATTCGACTCACAGCATCAAAGGATTTCGTCCAAGTGGCGGTGGCAACGTAGGGCAAACGTGTATCTTCTTCAAGGAGCGCTTCTGCCAGGATTCCCAGGGCGGTGATACGAAGTGCTGTAAGGCCTCTTTTCTTGCTTTCTTGGGCCAGTTTCTGGCATCTCGCGGCCCTTTTCCCCTTTTGTATTACTGATTGCTTCAGCTCCTGTGTAATATCTTCCTCAGTGAGTTCCTTTTCCTCCTCACCCTGTCCTTCATCACCACCGTCCTCTTCGCTTTCCTCGTCATGTAACCTTTCAATATCATTCTTATGGATTTCAGTCAATTCTTGGAGGGCCTTGATTAGCCTTTTCAAGCTGTAAAAATCCTCTGGCCTTTTAAATGTTTCCTTCTCATCCATTTTTTCAGATAGGTCGGGGGTGTTCCGAAGACATTCCAAAAATGGCCACGGAATCACCTTAAACTTTTCTTTATGTGCCGACGCCTTTTGTCTTAGCTGAATAAAAGCCTTTTCCGCCTCCGACCAAGATTCATGGTCGACGTTAAAATCAAAAAGGTCACAGGTGGTCTGGATTTCGTTCAGTGACTTCTCATTGCGGGACAGAACCACTTGCCTTTCATCCGCGTCCTCATCATCGGTCACCTCAAACCACTTGGGGTCAATTTGTGCCACCTTCCTTTCCACCTGCTCATCGTGATGTATGACCTCATCCAGACTTTCATCACTGTCGCTGACATCAAAAAAGTTGCTCATTATTTAAAAACTTTTCAGCTAAAAAAATTAATAAAAAGTAATAAGAAGTTAGTTAAAACTCGATAAGATAACAACAATGATAATAAGAATCTCCTGCGGGTGAAACTCACAAGCAACAGGGAGGAAGAGGCAAAAAAGGCAAAAAAAAAGTCTGTTTTCTATACACAAATGTGAAGAATCTGATAGCAACAAGGAATTCAGTTACAGCTCAAGATTTCGGGGTAGGACTAATGTGTAAAACCGCCCCGTGAAACACAACTTTCCCGCCTACATCAACCATTTTCAGAAATAATCCCTTTCGTCTGTATGTTTTTTTTATTATTTTTCCTTGTAATTCTTGAGGGAACATATCCTGATAACCACAACATTCCATCATGCATTGCAATTTCTCAATCTACCTTGGGCTTCTGAAGAAACTGTTGGACCCAACAAAAACAGCAGTCGTTCAAGAAAAGCACAGAGAATTCTTAGTTCAGAATCTGTTCTTTTAAGTGTAATCCAACTCTCATTTTGCATATGATACACTTCCTTTATCATTCCTTGAAGATGCATGAGGACACCCTTCAAAAAAAAAAAAAAAAAAAAAAAAAAAAAAAATTGGGGAGCCAAGGGACAAATATACCCTTATTTCAATATAATCTAAGCCTGTTTCAAATATAAGATAGAAACGGGATTCCCTTTATAATCAATGCGTCCATCAAAAAGCTTCTTGATCATTGTTGAAATTCTTTGGTTTGCAAAGAAAACAATTGTGGTATTTGGATCAACAAATACAATTTGATTTACTCCCTTTACGTGCTTCAAATTTAACTCCACCCAAAGAGATGAGGCACCCCGCAGGATCAGAGATTGTGAACGTCTATACGTCACTCGGCATCCGGGTATATCCGAAGCTGGAGCTGTAGTGATACTTACCTCTATCGCCTCACCAAAAAGCAAAAACCCGTTCATTTTTAAATATGCATCCTGAGCAGATGCAGATTCAGTATATGACACGAGAGCTTCACCACGGGGAACATCCAAAAGAATGTCATACAGCATACCATATTCACTAAAGCAACGCAGTATTGTCAATCTACAAAATTCCACACCAAAATAAAACACCAGTCCTCGAACTCGCAGTAACTCCATGTATATATGTGGTTTTGAATTTTTATTTATGCTCCGAGCCCGAAACTCCTCTAGAAAAATAATTTAAGCCAAAAGAGCAGGTAAAGAAAATTGGGGACCAACAAGAACAAAGTAAAAAAAAAAAAATAATAATCGCAAAACACCTATCCAGAAATTCCAGACACATTTTTCACGAGAACATATATATATATATATAATATATATATATATATATATCGCAGGTGAAAATATCAAAAATAAGCCAAATAAAAGGTAAATCTAATGCAAAGACGTCCAAATAAGCGACTTGATATTTAACATTCCTCTCCTTTTTGCAAAAGCCTTCGTGCCTGAAGGAAGATGGAGTAAAGGACCATGCTTGTTCACAAAAAAAACTGCGTTAAGCCGATGAAGCGCCACAGCAACATCTTCTACTGCCATTCCACTTTCCCACGAAAGCAAATTCATTGTCAGTGGAAGTCCTTCCTCATTGAGAGAAAATATTGCTTGAAGAATTTCCTCCCGCCAGATTCGAATAAAGACCTTTTTTCCTGCCGCACTCAATGGTCTCTCGGGAGAGCCTGGAATTCCCTCTATCCTTCCCATCTCGTAGGAAATTTTAATTAGAAAAGCTCCATACCCCTTATTGCGGTATGGCGGAAGTACCATTACACAGGAAAGTGAATTATTGCAAGCCACACTTTTTCTCCACTCCTTACTAAAATACCCAACAAAATGATAACCATAGTCATCAACCTCAAATAATACAACGATGGCAAAAAAGTGCAAATCATCCAAGGTAGTTTTTTCTTCAATAAAATGCTTGGCAAGTCTAGCAATGCGCCGGGTATATGGAACGGATGCCATTTTTCGTCCATCAATTTCAAAGACGACAAATCGCCTCCTACGACAACGGTAAATCTCATCCCCTGGAACCCAAAATCGATATGGACACACTTCCATATGTTCTCTCAATTCTCGTGCTGATGATAACCAAGAAAGACACGCTTCACACATAAAGACATCAGTAAAATCCTCTTTGCCCACAAATCCGCAATGCAGATATTCCACCATATACTCCCGAAAAAGAGTCTTTATCGTAAAACCGTCCAACCTTTTGCGTTTCATGAACCTTTGTTGTTGTTTTTTAGGAAGAAAACTGAAGTTTTACAATAAATACGAGAAAAAAAAGGTTTCAATAATAATAATAATAGTAATAAATGTTAAAAATAAAATATTACAGTTCTCCACAGCAACCAACAAAATTTTTAAACATCAATTTTCCTTCAAATGCATAAAACTTCCTAAACCATAAAAAAATAATAAAAATAAAAATACTACAAAAATCCCATCAACTCCCTCTTTGAAACCCTTTCCTACTTCCCTAGTGGTGTCCTAGATCCACGGCGCCCGGGGCTGGTCTGAGAGTTGGAGGACCAGCTGCATACCCTTCACCAATATCAAAGGCGAAGTCCCACGGTTTTCGGTCCTGTTTGCGCCATCCATAGTCAAGATGACTTGGCCCGCCGCCGGCAATATCGTCCAGTTTTGCCCAAAATCCATCGTACATAATAGCACCAATGATTAAAAACGGTCCACTGACACAAAGAGCCATCCAATAGTTTTGGCCCGGTTTGTGGTAAACCTCACTCGTCCAAAATCCAACTCCTCGAAGGCCAAAATTTGGACGAGCCTTGGCCTTCGCATTGAAGGCATTTAAGTATGTTCGCCTAGTGGTAACCAAGGCAGAGCGGAACATCTTTCAGAGAATTCACTTCTTTTCGATGCCTTTACTAATAATAATAATAATAATAATAATAATAATAATAATCGATATACAATGTTGGATACACACGCACAAAGAGAGAGAAAGAGGGAAAGAGGGAAAGAGGATAAAAAAAGAAAAAAAAAAAAAAGGAAAAAAAGAGTTGTTCAAAAGTAAAAAAACAAAATAAATAAATAAGTCAAATTCAACTGAAAAAGACAACATGTAAAAAAAAAAAAAAAAAAAAAAAAAAACAACTTTTTCGTAAGGGGGAAAAAAGTACTATGAAAGGAAGAGATTAAAATAAATTGAAATAAAAAATCTAATTCAAACAAAACGGTTTCTATATGTGACGTGTGAGCGCTACCAAAGAATTTTTTTTCTAGCACGTGAGCAAGGGTGCTCCAGGTCAAAAGTAAATAGAAAAAGGGTTTAAAAAGCCGTTTCCCTTCTATTCACAGGTTTCGTATCTAATCCCAAAAATCTTGTTCTAAAATTCCTTATATTTGCTTTGTCCCCATATCACCCTTTTTTCTCTATTCCATTACTCTTGCTTTAGTCTTGTATCCGCACTTTTTCCATCCAAATACGGCAACCAAACTCCCTGTAAAGCTCCTTCAAAAGTTGTACAAAGTCAATCCGTGACTTCGCGGAATAATAGAATGTGAGCTTCTTCTTATCAAATTGGTACTCGGCGTGAAGTATCTCCATATCAAAACCGTGACGCTGGACACGCTGTTGACAAAAAGAAACAGCAATAGCCTCATCCTCCTTGAGATCAGTAGCCCAGTAATCTACCTCTCGCTGTGTTGCATGACGGAGAATACTTCCAGTTGGTCCGGAACGTTCCACATATGTCTTACAACCTTCAGTATTCAAACGGATAACAACCCCAATATCGATTCCTCTGTCACCTTGAACCACAACATATTGACCCTTGGCGGCAAGAAAAGGAGAAGAAAACTCCTTTTGATGACATTTAAATTGAACAAGTACGTTACAAACAGGAGGCATGGTAGGGGTTGGTGGAGCCTCATCCTTTTCTGCAAAAAGCTCTTGTTTAGCAGGAATCTTTATCAGGCTCGCTCCCTCTGAAAGAAATGCTGTACATGAAGTTACCAAAGAATCTTCAAGACACTTCCAACCGTAAGGATTATGGCGTTTGATCGCAACCTTTTTTGAAATAATAGTGGAATTGTTCTTTACATATTTACCAGAAAGCGCTGTTTGAACATTGGTGATATCTGAAAGAGGCGAAAACATCTTGATTTAAGCACCTTTCTTTTTTAAGATGAGCGCACAGAAAACAAAACAAAACAAAAAAAGGAATGCAATAAATTAAAGTAACATTTCACAAACAACGATAAATAATCAGCAACAAAAAAGCAATAATAATAATGATAATTAAGTTGAACAATGCGGAGGAGAAACAGTATAGAATACAAAAAATCACAGAAAAAAAAAAAACTGAGAATTAATTTTTTTTACTTAAAAATATTACATTCCTCTAAATTTTTATATCAATTTACTTAGTTTTAATACCAATATTTATGAAGCAAACACATACACAGAAAAAAAAAAATGACACAATTATCCAAAAATAAAATTTTAGTGTCTATCGGAATAACAAATAACAATAACAAGCAAAATTAAATTTAAAAAATTATATTCCTCCAAATACACTTTTTCTCCCAATAAACAATAATATCTAACAATAAATGAAAAAAATAGCTGGAAAGCAAATTCAAAAAACACGGTTCCATTCAAAATCACCAAATAGCCAAGAAAAAATCACAAATATTTTTTCTAACCTAACATAACCCATCGCAAATCAAATATATAGAAAAAAAAACAAAAACATTAAAGCAAAATAAATATAAAGTAGAATAATCTTCCGGGCAGCTGGCCGGATCCTGAAAGTATCTATGGAAACCAAACAATTCAAGAAAAAAGGTTCGTTAGTTAATTGCTTCAATGTTTTCTTTTCATTCAATATATAAAATTCTCTGGACCACCAGCATGGTCCTTTGTCCTCAGTTAGGATTTAAAATATTATTACTTACGAAGTGGCAGACTTTGGGGTCCTCCAACCACAAGACCCCGCCGCGTGGTGGGAATCAAGGGGGTGGGTGGGATGGCAAAATAAAAACAAAAATTATCTGGCCTCTATCGGCTCCCTGCCCCTACAAAGTCGCGTTCTTCCCAAAAGATTCATACGGTAGAAAGTATCATAAAGAATGCATTCGTTTATCAGGATATAAACATACATTAATTAAGTTAGCCAGCTCTCCCGCGATCATTCTTTTCACAAGCTCCTAAAACAAAAAATCCCTCTAAGACCGTTTCGTTTCATAAGAAATAAAATAACCAAAAGGCCCTTTCACAGGCCACCACCGCGGCAGTCGGCGTAAAAAACACCCCCGATCCGGAAGGAAAGTTGAAAATAGCAAGCCAAACACGACGGGAGACGCGGGCCCTCGCCCCACAAGCGGGTTCGGCCCCAGGCTTTGGGAGACACATCCCGCCCCGGCAAGGATGGGGCGTCGCCCGCCCCTTCTTGGCTCCGCGCGGCGCGTGGCGGGGCGAGCGGCGGAAAGGAAGGTCCGCGTGTCGCGGCCCCCGCTGCCGCTCACTCTGTGGCGGGTGGGGGTCCCCTTCGCAATTTTACCCGGCGGGTGGTGGGCGATGTGCGGGCCATTGGGTTTATCGGAAGAAGACGCAAGGAATGGGAGAGAACGGGGCATGCAAGTGTAGGAATCGATGGATATTTGACAACAACGTTATCTTTTTAGTTATATTGAAAAATGAGTAAAAAGACAAAATGACGAATTATTCTATACACAAGGACCGATCTAAAGGTAATGAAGAGAGAGAGAGAGAGAGGAGGTTAATCTATACCTATAAATAATGTGATTGCAAATAAATAAAGATAAATAATAAATTAAGTAAATAAAAATCGGTTGATCGATCAATCAACAAGTTGGAAATACAAATAATATATAAATAAAGAAAAAATCAATAAATAAAAATAAATAAAAAATATAAATTAAGAATAGATAAAGGCAAACAAATATGAACGTGAATAAGTTTAACTAAGAAAACAAATATAGATAAATTAATTTAAATAGCCAAATAAGGAAGTAAATGTAAATAAATATTTATAAACGAACATAACTGGATAGTTGTTGATAATGAGTTATAATTATAAATAAAAAAAGTATGATTGTAAATAAATGTGGAAATAAATAAATCAATATTATTGAAAATATAAAATAATTCAATAATTAAATGTAAATAAATAATTTTTAATTATCGAATAAATAAATAAGCAAATCAGGCTATTTGGCTGGGCCGCTGGCCGGATCCTGAACTCATCTATAGTTATTAAGCAAATGGGGCAGAAGGAAGGGGTGAACGGAGAGACAATAGATTCGCATCATTTTTAGCTTCAAGTATATACATATATTTTCTGATATCCACTCTCGTGACATGCCGCACTTTCCTAGGATTAGAAATATTATTGGTTAAAAAATGGTGGAATTTAAGATCTTCCAGCTACACGACCCCGCAAGGAGGGAATCAAAAGGGGTGGGTGGGAAGGTAAAAATAAAAATAAAAATAAGGACGAATAATCTTGGCGTTATTGATCTTTTTTTTTTTTTTACCACGGCCTGCCAAACGATCATAAGATGGGAGAAAATTCGTACAGAGTCCGTTTATCAGGAGATATATGTTTATTAAATTAACTAGCCACTTTTTTTGACGAACATTCTTTTCAGAAGTTACTAAAAATATAAATAAATTTAAATAAAAACTGTGGACAATATATATAAATATGAAAATGAACATTGATTGTTGTACAAATAAGTCGTTATGGATACGTAACTATATTTATATTTGTATTCATATTAATTTATGTATATTTTTAAATATGTATATGCTTTTCTCTCTGCTTCTTATTGACAGATTGCTTGGTTGGCTGATTTATTGGTTTGCTAGTTTGCTGATTATATGTGTATATCAATAAAAAATATTAATATTTACTTATCAATTCCAACATTTATATACTTGTATTTGTTTATATTTGTATTTATATCTCTCCATATAATTGTTTCACCGTTCTTTTTTATTCTGTGGCATTCTGCTTTTGTTGTATAATGTATCCTTCTCCCGTGAGTTCCTGCTTATTTTTTTAGAGCGCATAGGCATTCCGTCCCACGGACAAGGTTTCATATGCACTGAAGCACCCCATCGGACAAAAGTAGCAAGGGGTTTACGAAGCCCATCCCAATTGAATGCTGATTGCTATCTTTTTTGATCTCCTGAGGAGCCGCAAGGTGTGATTGCGTTGCCCCTGATACCCAACACAATGACAACTTTCAGCGAGCAGTTTGCAGGCCCATTGTGCAGTTATTATTGAGGTGCACTCCACACCCGCATTTTGGGAGTGAATGTACGGTGTATCTGTAGGGGATGCTGAGGGCGGCGTCAGCGAGGCATGGGATAACATGTGCTCCGGAACAAGTGTGTGGCGTTGGCCAGAGGAGGCATTGTGTCAACGGCATCATTGATTGATGGCCATTGATTTTGGGGCTTCGGTATTCGAAGCCTTAAGGACTGGAATGCTGCTGGCTGACCAGGTGCTACTCGCCATCCGATCCCTCCTGGATGTGGCTTAAGAGACGGTGCGGGCGCATGCAGAGGGGGAAAAGGAAGTAGGACATTATGTGGAAATGCACGTGGACTTGTCAGAGCGTCACGATATCCCTCAACAAGTGTGGAGCTCCCAGCTTGGTGCGTTGATCGTCCTGATTAAACTGTCTGGGGTGGAGGTGAGTGCGCTGACTTCCGTTTCACCGAAATCTTCCATCTGACAGGCTGCGCGGCTGACGTGGAGGGACACCATGCGCACCTGTTTCCGGCGGGTGCGATGCCTTTTCCCACATATGAGGACGATTTCCCTGATGATGCACTCTGTCATCCTCACCTTTTTTATTTGACGACACGGCGCAACGCGGGGTTGGTGCTGAGCGGCGAAAGCCTTCCGTCTCGGTTGGAACCAAAACGGAGATTCCATGAAGAGGCATGCTGCTCGCGATTGGTTGATGCTTGGCCTGGGAGGAGTCTGTTTGCCACCGTGGAGCATCTCATTCGCCTGATTGCAGAGCCATCTTCACATTGCACAGTTCTCGTGCTCCTGAGTAGTGCCGATAAGGTGGATTGCATGATGGTGTTTCATTGCTGGAAGGCACTGTGAGGAGGAAAAATATTATTTATTCTTTCTTCTTCCTGGACGAGACGAATCCGTTTTTTGAAGTACGAGTGCCTTGTCGCAGTTCTTGTTGGCCGTTGGTGGCTTTGGTGTTTATTCCAATCAATGGCTCTCACTGGCGGCTCCAAGGCCTAATATCGATTGGTGTCGTCGTTGTTGGGCCCACGTTGCTTGGCCCATCAATTATTTGTGCAACTGGACAACAAGTTCTCTGTGGGCGTGGATCATGGTTTGCAGAATATGCCACAACAGCTGCTGGCCGGGCTGGTGGTTGTTGCGTCCTGTATGACGATGTTCTTGCGGATTTCACTCTGTTGCGTGTAGGTGATGTTACATTTGTGCCTCGTCGTGTGGCAGAGGCCTGAGCCAACGGAGGACAGAGTGTTGTGATGAGTCAGGGCACAGACAACCCTCGTGTTGCTCATCATTATACTCGTTTTCACTGCGTTTCTCGACGTGGGAACATTTTATTTTGTGCGGTATGGGGATCACTCGTCCGCTGGCATATCGCCGTGTGGTGGTGTCTGGCTCAAAGGACCCTGTGGAATACTTTGTGAGGGCGAGGGATGATGGCAGGACTGTCGTGCCCGCACAGACGGAGACGAGAATGGGATTTTTGATGTGCCATGTAACACTGCGCGCTCGATTGCGTCATTGGATGCGTGCAGAGCAGGTGGCTCTCCGGTGTCTGTTGGCTTCACGGCCATCCCGCTGGCCCCTTCTGAAGGGCATTCAAGAGCATTCGTCCTCTGAGGGAGTTTCTGCTGTGTGGTCCGCACAATGCAGTGTCCGCTCCATTTGGCTTTTTCTTTGGTGAGAGGATGGTCTGTTGCACTTCTTGGACCCCTGTGGAGGGGAGGGTCATGGGGCAACATGCCCACCGCTTCGGTGTTGGCGCACCACGTGCTTGCAGTCGCGTTACGCAGGAGGCATAGTTCTCCGTTGCAGGATGAAAGCGAAGTACTATTGTCCCTTGCCAGCAATGCACGGT